TGAACAGATGAACAGATGGATAGATGAACAGATGGATGAACAGATGGATGGATGAACAGATGAACAGATGGATGGATGAACAGATGAACAGATGGATGGATGAACAGATGAACAGATGGATGGATGAACAGATGAACAGATGGATGAACAGATGGATGAACAGATGAACAGATGGATGGATGAACAGATGGATGGATGAACAGATGAACAGATGGATGGATGAACAGATGGATGGATGAACAGATGAACAGATGGATGGATGAACAGATGGATGGATGAACAGATGGACAGATGGATGGATGAACAGATGGTACCTGTCGTATCTCCTCTCCAGCTCCTCTGTACGTCTGCAGGTCCTGCAGGATGACCTGGGCCTCCATCAGAACCTGGTTCACCTTCTCCCATACTTCAGTCTCTGACTCTGACGGCTGAGCGTCTGAAAACAGGAGGAGCAAACACCAACCAGGTGAGTAACGTGGACTTTGGTCTTCACTCGTCTACAAGTTGTTTTTCTGATCCTCAACAGAAAAACAACATCAAACAGCTGATTTTATTTCTTTAGCTGTGGAGCCGTGCTGTCCACACAAAACATCACGTCTTACTGTACCTGGTCAACACTACAAGGTTGAGTTAGTCATTTCTATTTTAACTGTTTATTTATTTTTCATAAAACAAAATCTGGACGTGGAGGAGCAGCGGCTCTACTCTGAGTCCCTCCTGGATGACTGAGCTTCTCAGCCTATCTCTAAGGGAGAGCCCAGACACCCTGCGGAGGAAACCCATTTCAGCTGCTTGGATCTGTGATCTCCTTCTTTCAGTCACTACCCAAAGCTCCTGACCATAGATGAGGGTAGGAATGTAGACCCAATGGTAAACTGAGAGCTTCACATTCTGGCTCAGCTCTTTCTTCACCAGGACAGACCGGTAGAACACCCACATCACTGCAGACACAGCACCAATCCACCTGTTGATCTCCTGCTCCATTCTTCCCTCATTCATGAACAAGACCCTGAGATACTTWAACTCCTCCACTTGGRRCAGGACCTCCTCCCTGACCCGGAGAAGACACCCTACCCTTTTCCAGCTCAAGACCATGGTCTGGGATTTGGAGGCACTGATC